GAAATTGAAAATAATTTTGAAAAAAAAATGGTGAAAATTGGATTTTAAGGATATTTTTGAAAGAAAAATCAGAAATCGAAGGTTAAATTGTAATTTAAAAAAGTTCTGCCACGTAGGACACCCGATCAGTAGCTCCGACGAATCAGGGCACGCCGCATGGCAGCAAACGCTGACGTGGTGCCATACGGGCGATCCGCGTGCCCGCGATCGAACGACTCAGATCCGTTCCCGCGCGCTTGAACGGCTCAAATGTGTTTCCTCTGCAAATGCGATCGAACGGTCAGATTTAAACGCGATCGGACAGTCCATATTAGATTACGATGGACGGTCCAAATTGAATCGCGATGAACGACCCAGACCCGCTCCCTATTTAATCGCGATTGGACGATTCAAATCAAACGTAATGGACAGCCTAGATCAAAAGCGAACAGATATAAATAACTCCATCCATACCAAACTCTAACCCTAGTTGTCAGACCCCCTCACCAGAGAAGAAGACCCTACCGCTGAGAAAGAGATCGTCGCCGCACTAGAGCCCTTTTCCAACTGCCAAAAAAGGTATAAAAAAAAATTTGCTCGGAATTCAATTCTAAACACACCTGTTGCCAAATTGGAGAAAAAGAACTGGCCATTTGGCCAGAAAACATAGGCAAAGTCTGGCGGCGGCGCCACAAGAGATTTCACGAAACGCCTCTGATGAGGCCCTTTCTAATTCCCGTTCTGTGTAATTTTTCACCGTTGTGATCTCCGTGTCTTTCTCTATAGGTTGATAGGAGGAAAACAGTCAACCACAATGTGAGCCAGAGGAGCTGCCGCACCGAAGAGCCCCACCGCTGGTTAGTTTCGATTTTTCGTATTTTTTCGGCCAACCGATGCCCTTTAACATATTTTCTCATAGAGATCGATACAGAATTGACCGAGTTCAGCCAAAAATGGCCGAAAATAGCCGACCCGAGGCAAAAACGGACGGAGGCACCATCGCTGCTACACTGTACCGGAATTTTAAAATTGGCCAAGTGAGCCCTGTGACTGATTTTGAATTTGTTTGGGATATTTGTAGATACTATTGGTGCATTTTAATTTCCGAAGAAAAATTTAGGGAACTCAGGAATCGCCCGTAGACGCAGTCGAACCGCTTATCTTTTCGGACATCAAATCGAGTAAGGATCTCTCACTGTATTCTCTGCCATAGAATTGAAGTCTAAATAAATAATAATACAATATTTGTGTGAATTTAAAAAATGTGCATAATTAATTATGGATTACTAATGAAGTCAAAATTAAAAATTTTCTACTGTTGCTTTGTTGATTATTTTACAATTCAAATGCATGATAGTACCTCATTAATTGATTTTATAATTTTGAATGCATGTATGGTTTATTCTATGTGTTTACTGCTGAATCGAAAAAAATGAAGGTTAAATGGTAAAAATTGTGTGATGAAATGAATAGATGAAATAACAGTATTACTAGATATCCTGAGAGATAGTGGACGGACTGGGTAAATAGAGAATCCTACCGTAAACGTTGTCTCATACTGAATGGGGCATGGAGACTTGATAAGTTGGTGTTCATACCGGACGGGGTATGGGGACGGTTTGCTTCACCCTCATACCAGACAGGGTATTGAGATTTGGTAAATTGGCACTCATACCGGA